GAGCACTCATAACACCGAGGGATGCGGGTGCCTCGGAGCCCAACGAGCCTTGGCACCGATAAATCCATTTCTTCGGCTGAAAAACGGATGTGTATGTGTCCACCATATGCCGTATCCGTCATAAAACGTAAAGGGCTGTTCAACCACGTAATTGAACCGGATCGGAAGTTTTCCCCCATGAAGTGGCAAGGCTCTGACTAGCACGTTGCAATTAGCGAACTCTTGCACGTTGCCACAGCGGGTGATTCTTCATGTCACTCGTTTGCTCCGTGGCCGAAGCGTTTGACTGACGTTTGCCGAGATAGCAGAAGCTGAGCTACGGTCCAGGTTTCCACTCGGGCTCCCTCAAGACAGGGCACTGACTACGTTATGTACTCCATTGGCCAATAATTACATAAGAGCCCGTTTTTGACCAATAAAAGACTGATCTTTCGTCCATCCGATAGCTCAGCTGGTTAGAGCACTTGCCTTCTGATTCACCCACCCTTAGCGAGATAAGTTCGAGTCCCTTTAAGCGCCCACTATTTTCTCCTGCCTGGGATGAGATGGATGGGAGACCGATGGTAGTAGCCACGCTAAAGGTCAGGTGATGTTTTAAGGACAGGGTGGCCCGGGCAGGGCATTGCGACATGTTACATCTCTTGCCGTCACATTTGCTGTTGACCTGGAATTTCACAATCGGATGGTGGGGGCATGGCTCACACACCAAGCACTCCTTAGCGAATTTTGTGATCGAAAGGATCGGACTGTTCTTCAACAATTTTTTTATAAGATAGCAATTTTCTCCTCGGCACCTAGAGCACCGTCCACCAGAAACGGTATCTGGCATGCAAATGCCAATAGATAGCTCCACTGTGAAATCTTGAAGTGACGGAAATAAAATATCTTCCTTACGCCTCCATAAAACTGGGAGAACAACGGCTGGCTTCTCCACCATGAAGCTCATCCAACCACACATTATTTCTTGGGCAGTTCCTGAACTCCAAAAACAGAGCAGGTACTGCCCACTAGGGTACACCAGAATGACACGTATTTGAAAACATGTGGGTATTCAGGGCTAGTCTGTTTCTCTGGTTCAAGGCAAATTTAGTGGTGTAACTTTGACCGCAATCCACATATGTTTAAGGATGCAGAAAGGGCGTAAAATGTGTAGTTTTAAGTGATTTTGGTCTACGTTGATTAACATGCGCTTGGGTGTGGGTCAATTTGCCCCTCCCGAAGGATTGTTCAGGATTATTTCCGAGCGGCACGACGTTGCCCGGCCAGACTTTACATAGCTGTGGTCAATTGAGCAGCAGATGTTTTTTTGGTGTCAACCATTTAGATGCATTTTATCTGGCTGCTGACTAGGTCAAACTCAGGTCATGGATTCAGCGAAGGCGATTTCTGGGGCTCGTTCAATCTGATGCAACAATGGAGTGTTGGACGAAGTCATACATTTCTCAGATAGTTTCCCAAGCAACACAAACGTGGAATTAACCAATTCTATTGAGCTAGGGTCAGCTACGAAGGTCAGATTAAGGCAAAAGTCAATTTGCTTTTTTACTCGAGAGCTTGTTGTTTAGCGTAGTTTCTGGCGCTCATTTTGAATTTAATGATAAAAGACCACATCTTATATCTTACCTGGACTTCTTAAAGGTCAGAACAGCTCATTGACCTAGTATGACCCTGGGCAACTTTTTTTCGGAACATACCGCCAGCGTAATCCTTGACGCTGCTTAAAATGCAAAAATCGAAACGGTGTTGTATGATCACCATGCCGCTCTAAAGGTCAAACAAAAGTTCTGACAGTAAATGAACACCAATTACTCTTTGGTTAAAGCAGGTTTCTAGGCTCATGTCGGTTGCATGGGAAGGTCTGGGGGCGCTGTGTACACCAATCTGGATATTGACCTCGTTTGGCCTCATTTGACCCGAAGGTGACGACCTAGGAACCCTAGATTTTGACAAAAGTGAGTCCACATACAGGTCAACACACACCCCGAAATCGATATTTCTAGCTTTCTTAGCCTTTAAATCATCCATCGATGTCAGGCGCTGTAGTCTCCTGATCGGTGTTGGCCGATGCAGAACACTACGCGGTGGGTTTTGAGCGCGCTCTCGTGGTCTTACTCTCAGCGCACCACCAAAGAATTTTCCCTGGCTGACTTATTCACCGCCACACCACCTGCAGCCGGCTGCATTCAGCCATGCGCCACCAGGGGCCATGTGAACAAAAAGTGCTCTCGTCCGACAACTAATTTGCGTTAGCGGCTGATAGTGTTTCCACAGTACTATCATTTGGACGCACGAAAATGTGTATTTTTTGTTACGGCCGTACGTTTAGAAATCGTCACTGACGCTGGCCAGTCCGCATTGAGTGACGCCCTGGCAGGGACTAACCCAACCAGACTGATGCCGTCGCCCGAAGAGCATGCGCCAGTGCCACCTGATAGCCCTGCAGCAGTGCCATCAAAGGCACACGGTCGCACACGCCGCGCGCGACGGTAGCATTTGTTTCCTTACTGCCGCATGTTTGCCTCCATATTACCGGAGGGTCGGCGAATTGGTGTCTTCAGCTTACGACTGGCTTAAGCCACCGGCCCATAGCGCTGCAACAATGTTCTCATCTGCATACGGTCGTACCGCCGCGTACGATTGTACCTTTAATCAACCGCCGTAATCGCTCCGGTACAAATCGCTCCTACCGCCGGACGGCCACCATTGGGTGGCGTCCTTCCAGGCGGTTAAGCCGGTTAAACGGATGCTGTCTCTCAGAGTCTTCCGTCAGCTGACTCTAGGCGTGGGAAACAAACTACGGCAAAATTTTTGAAGAATGTGCTTAATGGATCTCTGCGATGGGGGCCATGCACGCTTGATGCCACTGCCACTGCTTCCAGGCTGGTGCATCACTCTCCAGCACCGGGCCGGGCCGCCAGCGTGTCGTTTGATGTGACCTTTTACGGCGTCTTTTAACGCGTGTGATCGGTCATTTTAACGCGTGTGATCGGTCGTGAAACTGCGGCCCGAGGAAAATCAGCTCCGCCGGCAAACACTGGCCCCGGTCGCCGGCGCCTGATGGGAGCCCCTGCGCCGCGCGGTAGTCAGTGGTGGGCGGCTGTTCTGGGCATCTAAAGCAACCTGTCGTAGATTTCGCCACAGTTGGTCCCATTTGACTATTAGTTGCCATGGATGAGAAAGTACTTAATCGCTCCTAACCTGTCGGCAACCATGCAACGCTTTCAATCAAATCTGCGTACGTCATTTGGTCAGTACATAGAATGAGGCGGCGAACGCACTTCTTACAAATCACCATCAAGTCACGAAAACGTAAAATCCCCTACATTTTGCGAAAATGCTGCTCTGCTGCTGAAGGAAGCTAATCACGCGACCCTGAGTTATGCATACAACGTCAGTGTCCATCTAATCGGATGTTCGACATTTAGGATATGGATATTAAGTGATTACATCTCCAATGCACGCAGGCATTATTCTATTCTGTGTGGGAAGGGAGGAATGTATTTGGCGGTAATGACGCTAAAGAGGGCTTAGGAATGTTGCTTGAAGTAAGAGATATTGGACCAATTAATGTTATACGTTTAGAACGCCATTTACGCTAATCACTCTGCTGTGTATAAATTTCCGTTATTGAGCCCATAGGCGATGGGGACATTGAATTACAGCATGAGGGTTAAATTGGGCAGCTGATGCCCTCTTCATACAAGGGACTACCATTCACACAGTGTGAGGAGAGGCTCCACTTCCCTGAATGCCTTTACTGCGTTACCGACATCGTACAGAAAATATGGTTACAGTATTACTGATGCTTCGTGGAGGCATGTCCCGCCCGGCGAATGAGCTCTTGACGAGACACGGCTCGGTGATGACAAGAGGACACAAATGGAAGCTAACAAAACCTGAAACCAGGACCCTCATTCAGGCCATATATATCGTATTCACTTGGCTTAAAACTGGGCCGACTAAATGCCCCTTTTTCTAGGCGTAGAATGTTTTATCCCCGTAGAAGCAACGCTGGGATGCTTGCATAATGTTGTAAATCTGGACAGTCTGTTCGTCGAAGGCTGTACATGAGTTGAGTTGATGAAATCTTAACTAACAAAATGCCGTTAAGAGTTACACATTTTGACTAATTTTATATTACCTCTACCCCCTCCTGTCGACGCACTAGTTACGTTGGGTGAGAGCCCATTCGCTGGCTACGATGTCATTTTTCATCTGCATGGTTGGTAGCCAGACCTCAGCGTAACATTACACTGCTTACCACCTTGCAAATTTTTGGTAACGCCGCACATTTTTAGAAATCCTACGCCCTAATATATTTAACTCTCGGGTCGTGAATGGCTAGCACACTATTGACATCCTTTTTCTGTACGACACCCGACTGCATACTAAGCACGGTCCTAAATGAGATCGGGGAGCTCGAAGTGGACGGGATCGACGACTGTTTTTTTTTTTTAATTCTTCCTCACCTTTAGGTATGGTAATGTAACATTCGGCTCGACCATGATTGGATGCCCCGAAAGCTTGACAGGCTCCTTACTGAGGCTGCTAGGCTTAAATGAATTACAGTTTTTTTCTTCTTATATACATCTTAAACTTACGAGGTCTTTGCTTTACCTTACTTTTACTTTCCTTATGGTGATCGGGATTTTAAAAGGCTGCTTGGCCTGCCATCCCCGGTCTCTTTGAGCTCCCCTTCGGATAAATGAACAGTCCCAAATTAGGGATGTGATCGGTGTGGGATGTGAAAAATGATGTCTGTCCACTGCATATCGAGCCTGGCTTTAAACTGCTCAACTGAGGTCGACATCACGGCATTTGGGAGAGCTATCCAGTCGTCGACGACCCGCGTGCTGAAGGAGTTTCGACGGACGAGAGCTCTAGCTCGAGGTTTTCTTAGCTTCCATAGGTGTCCTGCTGTCACTTCCCAATTGTGCCTTGTAGGGAACTCCTCCACCAGCAGCAACATACCTACGTGAAACAATTGGAACGCTATAACCATGTATCACCTGCTACGACGGTAGCGCACGGTTAATGGTTTTGCGACGTCAGTTTTAGGTACCGAATGGACAACAAATTCTATTGCGGATATCACTGGGGTCAAAACATCTCATGTTTTGTGCTACGCTAGGCGTACGCATGCTGAAATAGACTTGCTAGTAAAACAGGGCTGCTTTAATACGCGGGCTTGATCAAAGTAGACAAAAGTTCGCGCAGCCGTGCGTTTCGCACATTGCGTTGTGAACGGGGCTCCATTGCCTTAGTTGAGCTCAAATGGAGGCTGTGGGGGAGGGCGCAGGGGCCTTGCCCTAAATTGTTAAAAAATGTTACACCTAAGAAGAAGGTTGGAGTGCTATATCTGGCTTCAATACCACCGATGATGACGGTCACCAAGCTGAGGAACTATTTCAACATGTACAGCGGAGGGAAAGTTGGAAGAATGTTTCTACAGGAAAGTAAGTAGAATGTTACGACCCACTGTTGGGTTAGTCTAACTTTGTAGCATTTTAATGTTAGGTTCCTGGTAAAAATGTTTAAATAGCTCGATTTTCCACCTGAAATTATATCTTTATGGCAATGTTTGTGATAGCAGATATGTTTGTCTGCAACCAGTGGTAACAAATTATGACATGCGACGCAACAATTTTTTTTATTTTTGTGTATACCTCATGAATGCAGAAGCTGATGTGCAGCCTGAAGGCTTATTCTGGTCTAGGTATGCATTGGTATCTAATGTTAAAAAAGAGTGCTGTACATCATTTATCATCTTAAAGTTGGAGCATATTGTAAATAATCATAAAACAGGTAGATTCATGCTCCTATCTTCAAATTTTGATAGTTATGATAGTGAGCTCCTTAGTGCTGCACACAATCATGGTCACATGTGTAATTCATGTGTGGTTACAACATTACTTCACATCAGAAAGTATAAAAAATGTATGGGGCCATGGTAACAATAACAATGCCATGAAATACATTTATTATTGGGTGTAGGCAAGCTTATGCAATAGAGAGTCCAGAAAAGACCAGGACCTAGCCTAAACCAGATTAGCCTAACCTAACCTAACATAACCTAACCTAACCCCCACCCTATCCCCTTCAACCCAGTGTCCCATTGGCATCCATGTCCCATGCCATGTGTATGCATCATACAAAGAAGTTTTGTTTAGCTGCCATGTTCTCATTTTGCTTTTCATTTCCCACCCAAAGGCATCATGTTTGCTCCCCATGTTGACCAATCTACAAATGGTATAGAAGGTTGCCTGGATACACAAGAAACATATTTCATTGGATTCTTGTCACCCTGGCCCCATACATTTTTGTGGTCCTTGATGCGAAGCAATGTTGTGACCACACTGTGTAGCAATGGCACTGGGGCGAGATTGCTGAGTTTGCAGTGCTTAGGTGTCTGCTATCGTAGTTATTTGAGATTCAGGGCAAAAGTTTAGATGACTTGTTTTACAATTATTTACAGTATGTTGTGCCTTAGAAATGATGATCAATGTACAATGCTCTTTTTTAACATTAGGTGCCAATGTGTACCATGAACCTTATTCTTAAGTATCTATGTAGATAGGCATTTTTCTAAGATGGATGAGGTGATGACACAGACCATCATTGTCATTCTGCATATGTGAGACTGATGATCATCCTGCATGAGATTTTGATAATTTTTTGTGGCTTTTTACCTAGTTTTTGTAGTTTCAAGTAGCAAGCTCTTCTAGCGATATATACAGACTGTTAAAACAAGTTACTTCAAGTTTTTGCATGCTCAGAGTTTTTTTGCATGATTATAATCAACATTCATGTTGATGGTGGCAATGGTTGATGTGGTGTGAGTGGTGATATGATATGGCATGATTTTGAGTCAAAACAGTTAAATGTTTCAGTCAACTTAACATGCGCTCGGGTGGGGGGGTCAAATTGACCCCCCCCCCCCGAAGGTTTTTCCTAGAATGGTCTCTGAACAGTGCGGCGTAGCCGCGCCGAATTTAGCATAGCTGTAAACAATGTGTGGCATCCAAAGTTAAGATGTACCTTGTAGGGTCGCTGACCTATGGCAGGTCAGTCAGGCCGTGATTTCAGTGAAGGCAGTTTCTAGGGAATCCTTCAATCCGATCCAACAAAGGAGTGTTAGATGAAGCCATGCATCTCTGAGATGCTTTCTTAGGCAACACAACAGTCAAATGAGCAAATTACATTGACCTAAGGTCAGGTATGAAGGTCACACCGAGGTCAAAACCACTGTGTTTTGTTACTCTAGGGCTTGTTGTATGAGATAGTTTCTGGTGCTCAATTCGAGTTTATTGACAGCAGGAAACATTATACATCTTCCGTGGACTTTTTAGAGGTCAGAATAGGTCATTGACCTTAAATGACCCAGGTCAACATTTTGTTTTAGGAACATACTGCCTAGCATAATCTTTGTCGCTTAGTCAAATGCAAAATTTAAAGCAATAATGTATGATTTTGGTTACCTTGACTTTCAAAAGTCAAACAAGGTCACTGACCTGGAATGAGAATGGGACCTTTTGCTTAGAAACGGTTATCTAGGTTCTGGGGGCACTTTGGAGACCAACCCGGAACTTGACCTTGTTTGACCTTTTTGACCCGTAGGTCATGACCTAGGAACCTGAAAGCCTGACCTAAGTGAGTTCACGCACAGGTCAACAGACCCTGTAAATTTGGGGTCTCTAGCGTCCTTAATTCCCGATATCTCGGGGTCAATTGACCCCCTCCCCCCCCCCCCCCCCACCCGAGCGAAGCGTATCTAGCCGGCCACCCGGGCGCGTGTTAAAGCATAATCTCATGAGTTGATATTGATAGGCTGCCTCCAGTATTTGAAAGTCCAGTGATGTGCCACTGTGTGCATAAATCATTTGAACATCTTGGTTGGCTGATCGTGATGTTGCTTGTTATGCATACTACTTTATTTTTATGCATTTCAGTAATCATTCATTTTGCAAGTTCTTCCATCAATATCAATAGCCATATAACATTGCCAGCAGGAAGCAGTGTTATGCGTATTCTTCTAATGCTGTGCATAGTCCGACTTGTTCATGCATAACTGTTTAACGTATGTGTTTCTCAGAAAATAAGAAGATGAAGAAACAAAAAGCAGGCAAAAGGCTGTATACAGAAGGATGGATTGAGATACTGAGCAAGAAGTCAGCTAAGGAAATCGCATCTCTGATGAACAACCAGCCAATTGGTGGCAGCAAGAAAAGTAGATGGTATGACTACATATGGAACATAAAATATCTACCTGGGTAAGTGTTTATGTCTCAGATGTTTTTGGTGCCTCGCTATCAGGTCATATCATATTGGATACTGGTTGAGTTTGTAATGCATACAGAGATCACATCCATATGTACATGGCGCAAGTTTCTGTTTATGGCAGGACCAACTATTCATTTGCAACCCACTAATTGCCACCAGGATGCCCAAAAAAGGGCCACACAGTGTCTGTCAGTTGCACCCTGCCTATTCATAGTTTGTGTGTGGCTGATATGATGGTAAACTGTAAAAATGGGGTGAAATAGCTCAGGGAAAAGATGTAAAACACATAGTTGACTGCATGTTTTTTTATTTTTGTGACAACGAATGTGCGTATGTGTGCATGTAGGTGTTTGTGTATGTGTTGTGCGCAAGTCATCTGGTGAAATACCAAAAGCAGAGCAGATGAGAATGGGGTCTTGTTTCTCTGACACACTGCAGGCTGAAAGTTGGCTAACTTACCCAAAGCAAAGCAAAGTTATAACCCTGAATGCCTCAGGCCATGCTATCAGGCAGTGATAACCAATGTCACTGTGTTGCTCAGATTACCGCGCATTGTTCTTTCCACGTTTAAGAACGCTACCGTGACAGTCCCGCACTGCCGCCAGGTTCAAGTGGGCGCATCTGAACGAGCGCATGCGTTTTGAGCGCGCCGTCAAGCAGGACCGACTGCGCACTGAGGTCGCCCTGGCCAAGAAGGAGGCCAACTTCTACCGCGAGAACGTGGAGCGCAGCGAACGGCAGGCACAGCGGCAGCGTCTGCGGCCCGAGGGGACGGAGTCGGCCGCCGGGCAGCCGGCCGGTGCCCGCAAGCCGCTGCCCTTCACACAGAAGCTGACCACGGCCGAGATCCTGCGGCGCAAGGGGCTGACCGAGGGACGCGAGGACCGGCTCGACACGATGCGCACGCTCGGCCTGTTCGGTAACAAGAGCGCGCCGCCCGAGGACGCCGGCGAGTAAGATGGCGCCGGCAGCAGCGCCGGGCCCGCTGTCCGGGCTGGCCGGGGACCGCTGGCGGCTGGTGAGAGCGCCGGGCGCAACAGTGACGCGCGGGTAGCATCGCTGACGCTGTGGTGGTGCGGCGAGGCCCCAGAACGGGCAGTCTGCGCGGGATGGCGCACTGGGGGCCCGTGCTTGCGCAGGCCAGGGTGGCCCCTGGGTGTGGCGCGGGTCACGCGGTGCTGGTACCTGCCGTGGCTGTGGCAGATGGGTTGGTTTCCACTGCTCAGCCATCGGATATGATCTGTGAACACTGCTGCGTAAAACATGGAAGTCTGCATTTTGTTTCGTAACGTCTGGACTGCAGAGAAGGTGGGTGAAGTACAATGACTGTGGCGCTTGCTCCGATTATTTGAAACTGCAATATCGTGGCCGAGGGGCATGGCAGCATGGCTGAAGAGTGGTCGGTTGGCATGGCAAGCATTACATCATGCCAGTTTCTGACGGTAGAAACGAAAACCAGTGACGATTCGCGTGATGAGAACGAAAGCCATTTCATGTTTATTGAGAACCGGTTGACACCGCGCAACGCTCCCTTTGCCGATGCAACGGCCCAGCGATTGTCGGCAGGCAATCACCGGCACGAAATCATATCAAAACAACATGCTATAAAAACGACAGGTATCACAAAGCACTGATACACGAATACCATATGTACAGAGCCGAGCAGTCGCACATCGCAGCGCTGCACACCAGCCCACTTGCTTGTTTCATCTAGTTCACGTACACTCAGCTCATTCATGGCGTCAGAGAGCCGGTTCAACCGGCGTCGGCCGTTACAATGCCTGGGTGGCTCCAATCATAGCCACGCGCGAGCGCAGTGATGTCCGCTGGGGTTGTCGCTGCATGCGCCGCGCCAATCGCCAGGCTGCACTTGGCGGGAATCCGCGTGACGTCACATAGCATGCACATACGCTGGACCTCCTCGCACGCCTGTTGATTTGAGCCACCTTGTCGACGGAGCGTCGGGCTAGAACCCGGAGTATGTGAAGCTGGTTCTTTTCTATCCGGTTGGCACAGAGCACCACTACGCCTCTCTTGCCCTTGACACGTGAGGACACGTAGGCGCTTGTGAGCCGCGGGCTATCGTCGAAAAAGGGCACGGTCGATCGAAATAGCCAGTTAATAGCATGGACGCGTTTTTGGTGGGTGAACATACGTTTTACCTATTATTGAGCTTGGCTACATGGCTTTTGTTCTGTCCCCCAGGACATCTGGAACGTCGTGGCTCAAGTAACTGTTCTTCACGAGGTTGCTACACCACAGCGTACCTCATAGTCGCTCATTGAGTTTTTCCTCAAACGCAGTCAAGTAACCAAGCCAGCAGCCATGTCTCGACTGGTAATGACGAAATTGCTGTCAGGTTCCGCAGGCGAAAAAAAATGCATGAATGGGGCCGAAAGTGGTAACTTTGAATAGAATGTCCCTGACACTGCGTTATCTGCAAGTTTTAGACATCGATGAAAGGGCCTGCACCTCACCTTACGCTCTCCGCATCCACGGAAACTCATTCGCGGTGCTATCAAAGAATTCTATCTGCCAGTCACGTACAAATTCTAGTCGAGTCGGCTACCTCACGAGCAGTCCACTGCAGCCGGCTAAGCTAGCATACTTCCGGCCGGGCCGCTGAGCGGCGCCACTGTCGCAAGACTAGAGGTCGCTGGCGCGGCTCAGTGCCGCCGTGGCCGCTCGTCGCCGTGGTGCCGCCGGTGATGATGGTGGTGATGGTGGCGCCGCTTCTCGTCGGCGCGGTACACGTGCGCCACATCCGCCACCGTCAGCTCGCCGGCGTCGCGGTAGCCCTGCGAGTGCGGGCTGGGCAGGCCGGCGCCGCGCGCGCCCGACCGGCCCCGCCGCGGCCGCTGACTCAGACCGTGCGTCTCCGAGTCGGTCGAGTAGCTGGACGAGATGTAGTGGCGGCGCGCACGATGTGGGGGCCGCCGGCAGGTCCTGTTGATGGAGTTAGAAGCTGATTAGTGGATCTCACGGCACGTGAGAGCTCGCACTCAGGGGGTAAAGGGATGTTGGCCAGTTTTGTGGCTTGTGGGTTTGCACCGCCAGGGAGTTCGAAAAGAACTTCTCTGTTGCATTTTGCTGTGTTTTTAGCTCCGTTAGGACATTTGAAGGCAAAAGTAAAGTACACAGAGTGTCTTGGTCTGATATCAGCGTTAACGATTATAAGTATATCCAATTAGGTCCCGAAACTTAAAACAATTGCTAAGCACCGCTCCTGCTAAGGCAAATCCTTAGCAAATCGCGTAGCCCAACATTGGCTTTCAACGACTAGGGATTCTGATGTGCTCAAAATAGCGTTCATGGCACCAGAAGAGTTAAACAGCATACAGGAGCATAACATAATCTTGTAAATGCCTTTGGATCATGGTATGTAGACCTGCGTCGGTCACGAAGACTTAAGAAGCTGCTCAGTCCATAGTATTCAAAACGCCGAATGGGCACGAAAAATCATAGGTTGACTCATGATTTGTCTTAACAAAAACAGCCGCATTTGGTCCGGGGCCTCGCAGAGTGCCCAGAGCCCTTTCCTCGCCCCCCCCCCCCCCTCCCCCATGTTTACTGGTTTGGAAGACAAGCTTTCCCGGCCGGAGCAGTGCCTAAGGAAGCCACCATCAGCTTGTATGGCTCCGGGCTAAACGGCGCTCGCCTTCGTAAAAGGTAGCCGTACAAGTTGTCAATGCTCCTGTCACTTTAGGGCGCAGAGGACCACTTCGCCGTCTTACAGACCTTCTGACGATGATGACGATGGTGGTGAGTACGGCGGAGAGGAATACGAAGCCACCAAAAATGCCGAGCGCGATGATGCCGCCTGTGTGGTGACAAACAGTCTCAGAACAGGGTGCGATGACGGAATGGGGGCCGAGGTACACATGAATGGCAACACCGGTGTGGAGCGAGCATTAAAGACGTTATACACTATTGGAGTGCAGCGACGCGGAAGCCAATTAGCAACACCGAAACATGTTTGTGTGATCAGCGCGTGACGGTGGAACTATCACACATACCTGGGAACATAATAATGGAGGCACCAGCTCGCCAATGCATTGCACATACGCTCGCGTGATCTCTTGAGTCGCACGCCATTTGTAGTGACCTGTTCGTGACAGCCTGTTCACAAGCCCCGCCCCAGCCAAACAGACGCAGTGGCAGACTGGAATCATAATTTTGAATTTTGTGTCTTTTTTAGTTTTGATGTGCTTGAATGCCATCGGTAGCATCGAAAGATGATACGGATCGAAAAGATCGTTAGTATCGAAACCTCTAATGCTCATGGCCTCTACTGTCTCGTAGCATCTAATATTCAAAGCTTAAATGACCAAACACCTTGACTGTTTATGTCCCTTAGTGACCCATAACAATTAACGTTAAAAATCCGTACTGGTCCAAAACTACGGTGGCTCTTGGAATCTCAGACTTACTCAGATTGAGGCGCGGCCCGGCGTCGCGCTGGTCGGCGTCCAAGTCCGGCAGCCGCACACCCGGTGGCGTGTTCTGCTGGATGTTGACCGTGTCCGGGGTCTTGCTCTGCTCAGGACGGTCGTATTCTCCGGTCTCAGCGGGCTCCGGAGCAGCCGTGCTCGCCGGCACGCCCGCTGCGGTAGGGGCCGCTTTAGAGGGCGCCACCGGGGTCTCTGACGGCGCCTCCGGGGCCGCGGACGGCGCCTCCGGGGCCTCGGACGGCGCCCCCGGAGCTTCCGACTGCGCCCTCGGGGTGGCGCCGGGCGGCGCCGCGGTCGCCGCCGCCGTCCGCGCCGGCTCCCACGTCTCCGTGGTGAGCTGCGGCTCGTCAGGCTCGGCCGGCTCGGTCGGCGCAGTCGCGGGCGGCGCGGGGGTGGCGGGAAGCGGCCGCGGGCGGGCGGGACGGAAGGGAGGAGGTGTCCGCGGGTCGGGCACCACGGCCGGAGCGACGGTTGGCCAGAACGCCGGCGGGATAAGTGTCAGCTCGGTGTGAGAGTCGAACGGTCGGGTGGACGGCGGCGGCTCGGTGGCGGCCGGCGGGGCGCGGTGGATGGGGTTGGACACCCGGTCCGATGGCGGGTCGGGCACGACCCGGTACGGGATCAGCCGGCGACGGACGTTTCTGATCTTCTCCTCCGGGAACTCGGCGGCTATGTCCGCCAACGTGATCGGCCTGAAGCGGCGCCGGATTTCGTACACTGGCTCCTCGGAGTCTGCGGCCGAGTGGGTTCGGCGTACCACCGGTCGGTACCGAGCCCGGTGGCCTGGGTACGCGCTCTCATCGGGCGACGTCACCGGCGCCACGTGCTGGCTCTCAAACTGCGCCGGTGGCGCCACCTCAAAGTAGGCGTCGCCGGCGGCGGGCGTCTGGGCGGCGAGGCGCAGTCCAGGCCGCGACCGACTCCTGTCATACACCAGCCGAGGCGGGTAAGACGCGCTCTCACGCGACCCGGACGGTCCACCAAGCGAGACAGAGGGTCGCGGCGGCGCGCCGGACCACGCGGGCGGAGAACTCGGCCGCGGTCGGCCGGCGGCAGGTGGCGCCCTCTGCTCCGGTGCCCCGCCCGTCCGGTCCGGGAGGCGGGAGTTGACCGCTTGAGGTCGCCCCAGGCGGTGCAGCGGCCGGCGCGCCGGGTCGCCCTCCGCTCCGGGAGACCGGGCGTCAGGGGACTCGTCTGCCGGCCGGTACTTAACGGACAGATCGAAGGCCGCGCCCGACGGCTGGTACGCGAACGAGATGTCTGTGACGGCCGCCAGGTGGCCGGCGGCCAGCTCGCTCTCGTACTGCGGACGGTCGGCGATACTCCCTTCGGATGCACCGCCGTCCCCGCTGGCCGCGCTGCCATTGGTCGGCGCCCCGTGCTCCCCCCAGAGACCAGGCAAGTCGGCCAGGTCTACCAATTGCTGCTGAACGATCTCGGAGGCCGAGGCGGCCAGCGCGTCGTCCAGGAACGAAAGGTCAAGGGTCACTGGCGCGTCGGTCGTCGTGGCGTCTGTCACTGAAAGTCGAGACAAAGAGAGAAGAGTGAGGTGGCAAGCACATACATAGCGTCGCATTCCGCGCACTCCGGCTCTAGATGAAAGAAGTGACGAGTACGTGAAAAACTGAGATGCTAAATATTGGAGGTGCAGATCGAAAGCTAAAGGCAAAGCTCAAACTCCATGATGCAGTAATCACTAATGTGACATGCAGTTGAATGCACACACTGCGTATCAACTGCACACACAAGGGCGTGAAGCGCGCCTCGTCAGGATCTGGACTGCACCGCAGGACTGCGCTGAGTGGCCACGATCAGTAGCATCCAGAGAAGGTACAGTTCAAGTGAAGGAAACACGGAACAAGTTCCGCAAAAAATCAGCAGCCATGCAGTCTGAAGACATTCAGACCATCAAACTCTCATGCAGCATGCGGTCTGGTGACGTGTCTGTTGTCCGCAGATGTCAGCTGTCGATCAATCTATTAGTCGTTTAGTCACTTAGCCCACTATGCGCCAGCCCAGACGCGGGCCCTCAACCGCGGTGGGCGGTAGCGGCAGTGTCATGTCAGCAAAGCGCGGGGAACGGGACGAGCCTTAGGCGCGTGTATGTGCTCCCTCGAATAGGATATGTGTCCGCGAGGTGGCCAACCGCGTGCAAGGTTCTCGGTGTGAAAGGTTGGCACGTTTCGGACAGCAGTTGGGAAGGGTCGTTGAGGGGACAGATGGGATGATGATTCTCGGGAGAGTCGCTGATGGACCCAACACACACGTGGCGCGGTGGACGTCGTGGCGTGCAGCTTCTCCAGCCAACGATTCCCTGACCATCTTGGCGAGCATTAATTATTTGGCGGTTTTGTTTCACAGGAAACCAAACATTAGTTAGTGCTACTTCTTAACATCAGATTAAAATACTTGGCCCATGCCCATATGAGCTGACTGGGTTTCAGGCAGCAATGGGCAATCAGCGACACAATGCTTTAATTATTTATCAGGTGGGCATGCTGAATTCAGCTCGTTGGCAGCGTTAGTTCCGTCAGCCGCCGACAGAGGCGCTGCGCGTACCTCGGCAGACTGGCGGCTCCTGGTCGTAGCTTCCGTCGCTCTGGCAGCGCAGGAACCGGGGTCCGATCAGTGTGAACCGGTCATCGAGGCAGTAGTACTCGAACAGCGCGCCCACGGCTGTGACGTTGGTCAGGCTGCGGTAGGCCCCGTTCAGGACCGTCGGAGGCGCACCGCAGCCCACCGCTGGCGGCGTGAGAACGGTGAGCAGAGCGAGCATGGTGAGCAGGGGGAGTACGGTGAGGAATATAGACACACGCGGTTCAGAGCCGAATTTATGGGCTTGGAATTTGGAGCAAGCAGATTCAGCGCACCGAGGTAAGAGACAGACATACCTGAGTGTGCAATGATGTATTGATCGTGCATACTGCGTGCCAGTGAGACTGTGTAGGTAATGATGCACGTATAGCGCCAAAGATTATGTTCGTTGGATGCGGAATCAGATCGGACATGTGCGGGCAGCGACGACCCGGTGACGGCCGCTCCGACGCGTCACTCCAGCTCCCATAGAGACCACGCAACTGGGGTGCTGGCCGCCCGCCGCAGCAGGGGGCAGCGAGCCCCACCCCGGTGGGTACAGCGGTGCCGCGCAGCTCGGTACGTACGCTGGCAGCGCGGAGGCGGCCCGTTCCACCGCTCGTCCACGTCGCAGACGAGAGAGGCCCGGCCTACCAGCGTGTGACCTGGCCGGCAGCGGTACTCCACAGTCGAGAGGTACGCACGGCTGTCGTTCTGCAGCTGGTACGAGCCGTGCGCGATGTCCGCCGGCAGGCCACACTGCAGACCTGCGGCGTACACCGGGGTCAGGGGTCAGGTCATCACAGACAGCCAAGCGGGAGGAGCAGAGCCGTCGGCTGGTGACCAGAGTAGGGCGCGGAGGTGTGCAAGACCGCACATCCGAGAGAGCAACGGTGGTGCTAACAAGTTTGTGAGCGTTGGGGGCTTCTTCGATGTGTGACAAGTTAACATGTAGGCTTGAAATTGTCTTTACATGAAAACGATTTTGGGTAAAAGACAACATTCGCGCTCATTTGTTGCTGATTAATCGAGCGATGCCTGTGCGCTCGCCGTGCTGGTAAGGCGTGTGTGTAGCCCGCCATAATACAAGTGGAAATATACGCGACGTCCGGGTCACTTATTGGTATCGTGCCGCTTATCAAATACCCGGGCCGTAACGAACTAAAAAATCTATCAATTATGACAGCTGAATTGAAACACACTACTAGGTTTCGTTTTGATGGAGGCATGCTGCCGAAATATTGATGCATCTATTTCTCCTTTTGCCTAGTTGTTTGATGGGGAATAGGGCTAAGAGTACTGCTGCATCCATGTTTCACTCCATTGCACACCGGACTCACCCGACGTAACGAGTAAACCGGGCTTGTTTCGCCTTTTGTGTCATTTGGCGGTGTTCATGCAACAGCAGTCTGCTTCGGTGAACTCACCAACAGAATTTGTCATGCCCTCCAGTCCCAGCATATTGCCTGTCTGATTACGCTCACCAGTAAGTGCATCCTAGCCCATGAGTCTGGACATCCGCTCCCGCGCTGTCACGGGCGGGAGCGGCCCAAACCTGGGCGGGTACCGGACCCGTATCCGCACACCCGCCCCTGCCCCATCACCCCGGGCGAGTGACGATCTCGTGCGTGACGCAGACCCCGCACACTCACGTTTGCACGTGGGCGGGTAGCCACTGTAGAAGCCGGAGGGCAGGCACTCGCGCGCCTCCGGCCCCACCAGCAGGTGGCCCGGCTGGCAGCGGTGCACGATGCGCGCGCCCACGCCGAAGTCCACGGCCGTCAGGGTGGAGTTCGGCGGCTGCTCGGGGCGGCCGCACGTCAGCGGCTCTGCCGGCCGGAGACGGGGGCACGCTCCAGTGAAACGGGCCGCTACAGATACATGAGCACGTGATCCGCACGTGCGCATCAGGGAAGCATGCATCACTCGTCCTTGGTGAACACTTCATACGGTAAATACTGGTGGTGAGCATTGGCATTACGTGCTTGGACGTGCCTTCAGTGTTAACGTTTTCAAATATTGACGTGTTTCGCGTACACCTCAATAACAACCACCGACCTCCAGGCCGCTAACCCTGCCGACAGTGCTTCATCTGCCCGCCAGAGGTTGCCGCCAGAGTGGCGCCACTGACCGTGCCGGCAGACGAAGTCGCCGCCAGGGCGGCGCCACTGACCGTGCTGGCAGACGAAGTGGATGCGGCGACCGCAGTCGGTGGCGGCCCAGAGCCAGTCGCGCGTGGCGTCGAGCCGTGCGCACTGTCCGCCGTTGGTGGGCAGGCTCCAGAAGCTGACAGTGACGGGCCGACCGTGCAGCCAGCTCCAGACGGCCGGCCGACCCGGCTCCCGTACCGCGCCCAGCCAGTACTGCCCGGCCGGCTCGCTCCTGCCGCGCCGCAAAAACACCCGGTCATGCATGCAGGCTGGCAGGGGCCATCAGACCATCTCTCCACGGGCACGGGCCATCAGACCATCTCTCCACGGGCAGGGACCATCGGACCATCTCTCCACGGGCACGGGCCATCAGACCGTCTCTCCACGGGCAGGGGCCATCAGACCATCTCTCCACGGGCAGGGACCAGGGCAGAGGCCGGTGGACAGACAGGGGCGAGGTCAACTTGTGGGTATGTGTGGACAAGGACAGAAAGTTAGTAAACGCACGGTTCGACACACAAGTGGGTTCATAATACAGACGGACTGAATATGAGGATACAACACTTGACACCGCATAACAGCTTGGTAGGAATGGGCATATCTTATCTTAATGGAACGAATTGGTAGGAATGGGCATATCATATCTTCATAGTAATGCGTCCATGCTGCCACGTTCTGAACTTGTAGGCCGACATATGGACATATATATGAATGACCAAATATGATATGAGCTATATATATATATATATATATATATATATATATGTATATATATATATATATATATATATATATATATAAATGAACGACATATGATATGAACAACTATAGAAAGGTAGTGTTTGCGTGCCAGCTCCCACTTCGCGCGAGCTTCTGTCGGCCGGCCCTGTTCCGTCCTGCCCTGACTGGATGCTGAGTGCCGTGCTCACTTGTGTCTGCGCCACAGCTCCCAGCTGAGGAACCCCTGCAGAGCCGGGCTCGTCTCGTCGATCAGCGAGCCGCCGCGCGAGCTGCAGAACTCCTGCGCCCGCTTGAAGCTCTTGGGCTGCTGGTTGTAGAAGGTGTAGCAGCGGCCGCTGTAGGTGGCGATGGCGCCTGGCGGCTGGTCCCGAAACTGCGGGCACCTCTCCACCGGCAGCGCCTGCGCATGGGGAGAAGGCATGCCTCTGGAGGTGGAGCCTTCCATTCATGCAGGGGGCACGGTGAGAAGACGACGGTCGAGCATACTCAAAGAAAATGGGGGTGGCGGCAGCACAAGTAACAACATGAGATATTGGTAAATATTCCACGACCCCTGGTTTAAGTATACCTTTGCCTGTGGCCATGTCATTAGTTGGGGACGGTATTGAGCAGGGCAGTGCTTTCATACCTTGTGTGGAAAGCTTGCATGCCTACGGAAGGCGCACCCAACCACAATAGCATCACCGCAAGCAGGGACACAGTTTTGCAAACTGAGTTGGAGGGAGGACGGATCGTGAAAAATGGAGTCTTTCCTCCAAATCTGACAGCAAACAGTTTTTTCCGGATTCGGGACACTCCCCTCTCAAAGCTCGGGAGGATAAGGCCTCCTCCCCGTGAGCTGAATGGGGAATTGCACCCCTGACCGTAAGCGTGGCAACTCTGGGGTATCCAACCTGCGTAGTCTGACAGAGGGCTGTGGGCAGCCTCGTGCCAGGCGTACGTCTCTCGCGCTCCTTCCCCACCTGGTCCGTGTACACAAACGTCTCGCAGATAGAGAGCCTCTGGCGGGACGCTCCCCGCAGGTGGACCGACACGAACGCGCCGGGCATGGGCGGGCTGCAGGGCAGGAAGAGCGGCTGGCCCTCCTCGATGACGCCTGCCGGAGCCGCCGTTGCGTGACGCATCAGTGCACCGCGCCAGCCCGCCGGCCGCGGCGCCCGCTCTCAGACCATCGCAGCACGCATCGCCTAACTGTACACGGCGGCTGGGCGGCGCGCAGGCTGATGAGGCACGCATCATCGGCCGTCACCACCGCACAGGCCGCCCGTCTGGTGCAGCGCGGCGCGGCGCTGGCACGGGGTCACTGACCTGTGAATCGGTTGCAGATGGGGTTGGTCTCGAGGTCGGGACGGTTGTTGCCCACGCGGACGACGACATCGGCGGAGATGTTACTCCCTGCGAACGGGATGCCGGCCGTGACCGAGTCGTGATCGTCACGCCACCGCTGCTGCCAGCCGTCATGCCAGGCGGCGGCAAACACGGCAGAACCGCACGGCAGCCTCGTGGGAGTGTTAACGTGGCTATGCAGGTGAATCTGGGCTCAAAGTTGGATTCATGTGACGAAGTTGTATGCGTGAACAGCGCTGTACTCTGCTTAATAAACAGAATCATTGGGAAGGCATTAGACCAAACCCAAAAACGCAGGCATTTACCGTACATAAAAAAAGAGGAATGGCTGTACAAGATGGTAAAAAAACAGAGAGAAAAAGAAAGAAAGGCAAAAATGGACACTAAATAGTGCAGGGAGAGAGAGGGTAAGAGGCGGAGAGAGAGAGAGAGAGAGAGAGAGAGAGAGAGAGCGAGAGAGAGAGAGAGAAGAGAGAGAGAGAGAGAGAGAGAGAGAAGAGAGAGAGAGAGAGAGAGAGAGCGAGAGAGAGAGAGAGGGAGAGAGAGAAGAGAGAGAGAGACGAGAGAGAGAGAGAGAGGAGGAGAGAGGAGAGAGAGAGAAGAGGAGAGAGAGAGAGAGAGAGAGAGAGAGAGGAGAGAGAGAGAGCGAGAGAGAAGGAGAGAGAGAGAGAAGAGAGAAGAGAAGAGAGAGAGAGAGCTAGCGAGAGAGGAGAGAGAGAGAGAAGAGAGAGAGAGAGAGAGAGAGAGAGAGAGAGAGAGAGAGAGAGAGAGAGGAGGGTGCAGACGCGTTGGTCGGCTCCTCCAGCCGGCCGCTCCGCCGTCTGTGCTGAAGCAGCGCCCAGGGCGGAGCCGCACACCGCCAACACTTACCGCAGCAGGGTCGGCCGAAGTCGACGCGCACCAGCTGCACCATGTAGGGCTCCAGCAGGTTGACGTACCAGAGCGGCGCCCGCTCCGGCTGCGTCAGCGTGCACGTCTGAGGGTCGAACAGCCGGCTCGTGCTGCCGTCCACCGCCTTCTGCGGGATGCCCTCCTGGTCCGTGGTTGACTGCATCGGAGCCTTGCCGGCAGCCACGTTAATCACTGCGGGAAGCGAAGGGCATGGTGAGGACGTTGCCTGCGGCGTTGTGAACCGACGGCGCGGCAGCCGGACGGAATGTGATGAGATGCTGTAGTGATCTGTCCACATGTCATGAACTTCAGTACCTTGTCTTTTTTCATGTGTTGTTCGCTATGCGAACATTTTTTTTTCTTAACAGCGGTCGGCCAAGCGCCGCGGAGGGTCGAGCCTCGTAAGGCTCGGCCATCGTAGCGCGAGGCGCTCCCGTCATGCTGTTTGTGCTGATCAGACACGTAATCGCTAAAAACTACGCCATGCGCCATATGCATGTCAGCCATTTCACTCATTTATGTGCATGCGTAAAACAGACCTCTGGATTGCTGCCACGGCACTATTCTGCTGCACTCATTGCAGGACGATAATTGGTTATCAGTGCGTGCAAACAGGCATTGGCGCAGCACTTACGCGAAGACCACGCAAGCGTATCTGGATTGGTTTGCGCGTGATCAACCGTGCGTGTTATGCGCCCGTCTCCGGCGTTGCGGACAATGCGCCGGCAGGGTGCGACAGAGTGTCAAAGGCTCGCAGCACTTCCCTCGCGTTACTGGCAATCCCACCTCAAAGGCTCGCAGCACTTACCTCGCGTTACGGGCAATCCCACCGATGCCGCTATAGTGACCGGGCTATTTCCAGCCGGATTTAAATGCCTGAGAACACCCGGCTGCGTAGCGCGCCCACCCGCCCGTGAAGCAAACCGGGCCAGTAGAGGATCAGCGGTGTTTATCCGCCGTGTTTTTCAAGCCCACTACTCTGGCGGAAAGGGCGTGTGAGCGTGGGCAGTCGGCGCTGTTTTCCTGACCTACTGAGCGCCGGCGGTCAGCGCAGTACGCAGCGCCGAGCCCGCTGTCGGCGCTTATAACAGGGTCCGCGCATGACAGAGCCCGTCTCCGGAGCGGCCGGCTCCGTTCCGCGCGGATCGGACGCGAGCCGGGCGGCCGAGGACGGCCGTCTGGCAGCCCGGCCCAGCTGCCAGATCGCGCGGCGGCTCCCACGCCGCTGCTCACGTCTTCACGCGCGGAGCCAGGTCAGCCGGCCTCCGCGGGGGCCGTGACGCGCGGGCGTCGTTACACGAGGTGCTCCACGCACGGAGTCGCCAGAAAGGCCGGAGCTGTTGCTGTTTCCTGACGTCCAGCGGGATTGTAATGGCATTAATGGCACGACAACGCATGCCTGCAAGCAATGCAGGGCAGGCGTACAATGTCTCAATGGCACCTCCTCGCCGGATGCGTGTTCTGAAAAGACTCGGTGCATGCGCAGTGTGACCACGCGTGCCACATTGCAAGAATAACGGCTCTGTGCTATCTACTCTGCAACCGGAGGTAGTGGAGGCGTGCGGTGGAGCGCCGATATAGAGACCTGGCCACACACCCTGAGACGAACAAACCATGGCGCAAACTGCCGGCGTGCTCAGTCTCTCGTCGACGGGAATGCCAGGCGATGCCAGGCGATGCCAGGCGATGCCAGGCGATGCCATGCGATGCCCGCGGACTTCAATCACCGGTCCGAAGCCCGTCCGTGACGGGCGTGGGCAGCCTGTCAGGACCGTGGGCAGGCGCCTCCGGCCTGGGGGAGTCGGGTTAACGGCGATCAAACGGCGCCGATCTGTGTCCGCCGCCAGCGTGACTGCCGTCAGTTCTGCTTGCCTGCACGCCGGCGTTCCGAGGCAGGAGGGGACGCGGATGGCGGGGTCAGGGCTGCGTGACACGCGACCCACGATCACGAGCCTGTGACGTCACTCGGGAGGTGGAGATCGGGCGGGCACGGGGGTCAGCGCAGTGGAAAATGAGGCATTGCTGGTCGCTGAGTGGCGAGAGTTCGAGAGCTTCGGCGTACCTTGATGAGAGATCCGTTCTTAATTAGATCCTCCCATTCACGGTGTGGAGAATTTATGTCACCTGTAATCTCCTTTTCATCAAATATGTTACCGTGGACCCCAGACGCTTTCCCACAGGAACCATCAAAGCTGGCACGCTTGGTATCTGTATGAAATAAGCTTGAATAAATTAAACTGAAAATTAACATAGGAGGATGGCTCTCCTCAAGCTGTCACGGTTGAAGTACATGCAACACATCTTTACAGATCACCTCCAATGACCAGGCATGGTCTCTGCCAAATCAGGCTTCCGATCTGAGCACAACACATTCCATTTTTATGTCGTACGAAGAAAATCACTGTCTTTCCATGGCAGTGCATGCGTAATAACATATTTATGGGCGGTGATGCACACATCAGGAAATACAGGTACCCGTGAAAGGTGTCCGCTGTTCACGAGCTCATGCAGGTGCTTTCAGTCAAAGTGTGTTTAATAGCCAGATGCCTCAAAAGGAACGGGGTTTGAAGAGAGTAAGAGCAGGTTTTGAGCGAGTCCGAGTGTTTCCGCAGGTTTGTAGTCCGTCCCCGCGCACACCACCCAAACAGCGGCGGTCTTTTCTCCACGTGCAGCGTCCGGTCCTCGCCAGTCTGTGGTCAGTGTTTAACGGGCTGGGGGCGCTGTGTCCAACGGTTCAGAGTAATCACTAATTAGGACTCCATGGACCGTGAAGGCGGTACCGCAACGTTGCCTATCGGGTGGTCAGAGGCAGTGCCTGGCCATCCCCACCTCGCTGGCCGCTGCCATCGGGTGATCAGTGCCTGGCCATCCCTACCTCGCTGGCCGCTGCTTTCAACGACACGACGCCATACTGTTAAGGCTCTACGGCAATGGGCGTAATAAATGGGCGTAATTGCAGTTGCGTGGAGACGCTTAAGTTACCTCACACAGATGAGTACGTACGGGCGAGGCGGTGCGGCACCGCCAGCGGCGGAGATTTGGAAACTGGCCAGTGGTCTAGAATTGTCAAGGAAGAAAAAACATGATGTCCAATTTGTTTGTCTTATGGAGAGAGCTGCTTGTCTGGGTCTAGCCAATGGTGCGTCAGGCAGTTCTTTGACTTTTGTACAAGACTGGTCTCTGGTTAGTTTTTAAGCCACCCGGATGTTGTCTTCAGCTGCATCACTCGCCTCTGACTATTTTTTAGCCATCCCGCCGCTGTTCTCAGCTGCATCACTCGCCTCCGGCTATTTTCTCAGCCATCCGGCTGCTGTTCTCAGATGCATCTTGTACTCAAGCTGCTCGCTTCAGCTAGTTATTCACATTGTCATGACCGCAAGAGCGCATTGTGCGTTGACATGTGGATGAGTTTAATGCAAAGAATCAGGGGCAGGCTGGTCTCGCCGGAAGTCGTCACTTCCGGTATTCGGTGCGCATAGCGTACCCCACCTCAGCCGGAACGGCACGAGCACAAGTGGCGCTGCTGGCGCTGGGACCGTCTGTTCACACTCATTAATATACGGCCCACACCGAGAACGCCACCACAGGTAGTGACGAATGGCTGCTTCCCCTTACGCCCTTGGCTTCCGCTTGGTCAAGATTGATATGAGAGAAACACAACCGAACTGCACATCTGACGTCCCAAAGTGACGCCAGCTGACGGCGCCTGACGTCACAAGAGACGCCAGCTGATGACGCCTGACGTCACAAGAGTTGCCAGCTGACGGTTTGGTCTGTAGGCTCGAAGCAGTAATCGTCATTGCTGGGGGGGGGGGGGGGGGGGGGGGCGTAAAATTCACCTGGCACCTAAGTTAACGAAACTAGCAGACAACGCAGAGGCTCTGGTGGTGCAAAAAATACACGGCATGACAGGGATCTTTGAAACCATTCCTATCGAGGGAGAAGCACATCATGAAATGCCGTCTTATTGGTGTACCAAGACACTGACCAGTGTCTAGCTATGTAGCTATGTAGTCTATATGTAGTAGGTAGCTATGAACTATTTTCACAACTGAAGACAGACTCGTCATAACATCGAGCTGCTTCTTTGCATGTGTTCCAGGACTGATTTCACTCGCGGGTGAAACCGAAAGGTGGATGGCATCTGCATAACACCACTCTCTTCCCATGTCACATTCAGTGCATGGTTTTACATTTGCATGGGCTAAAACCCACGCCGGCGGTAAACCCTGACCTCCATTTTACTATGCCGAGACCTTTCCGTGGTCGACTTGGCAACCATATTGGAGCAAACGGTTTTTCTTGGGGCCCTCATTCTTGCCTTCGTTGTGCGTTGAGTCGCAAAGTTCACAAAAAGAGGTAATTTAAACCTGCGGCAAACAGACCGTTACTGCTTCCCTACTTGGCTGAAAACGCCTCGGATCCGCCTTGTGTTTAAAACAAAGGATCCCTGGACCCAGCACGCGCTCCACCATCGTTCCGACTAGCACCAGCCGCCGCCGCCTACGCCGGCCGGCGTTTCGCTTGGGCGTCGCTGAGCCGCGGCGCCGGCTTTACTGCCGTCGCGCCTCCGCTGGTTTCACCAGAGGCCCTAAACGGCTACTTTGAGAGCGACCATGCCGTCATTGGCCGTCCTTACCGATCTTCCCAGGCGAACAACGGGCATGAAAGCCAGCGCCGCGTCATAACTGTTCACCTGCGTCTATTTGCGTTAACGTGTGCCTGAGCTCGTGACAGTTCCAGAGTGTAGTACTCGCGTGATATTTCATGCGTAGATTTGATGGGCTCTGCAGTTGGCTGTGAATTGGTTGGAGGTCATTGTGAACGATGTTCGATGTTTTACTTGGGTTTTCGGACACGAGCTCAGCCTCGAGTTATAGCTATTCGCTTGTTTCTTCATCCCAGTGAGCAACCTTGGAATTGCCAATGCGATTACTTGTGGGAATTACATGTTTATATCTAAAGCAAAAATTCTGCCAGAAAAACGTCATACGTCCGAACACATGACGGCGACTCAGCCATGAAAAGAAATTTCAAAAGCTTCAAAAGACACGAAAACATACGCCATAGACCTCCATCGTCCTACGCCAGAAGAAAGTAGGCGGTCCGTGCCACCGACCCTGCCGCGGGCTGGCGGCAATGGCGGAGCACGTGGGTCCCGTTCCAGTCCCGTCGCGGCGGGGCCCCGGGTC